TCAAATATCTCCTCCTCTTTCAGTGTTACAAGGAGCTTGAATCTGTGCATTCACAAGGTGATTCGCTGAATAGTCTGTAGCTTCTTCTGAAAGGATTTCTTGCCTCTCTCCAGATCTACTACTCTGAGATAGTATTGCAGTGGAGGCCAGTGTCATCTGGCTTAATTACACAGGTGTTTAAAGATTGTTCAAATGCTGTCTACAGTTTTATGCTTATTAGTTCATACTTTCCTATACATTCATTTTCTCTCTTGAAACATTTTGAGATACAGTTTTCTGGGTAAATTCGGGTTCATATTCATACAAGATAAAAAGCTAGGGAACCGAAAATAAAGAATTGTAAGTTGCCTTTTCTGAGAAGTATATATTGGACATTAATGTATTCCTCAGCATCTTAAACATAATTTAGACTTTCCTGTTAAGTTCATAGCATGCTTTTTCTATAATTATGATGCAAAGCAAGAGGCTATGAATTGGTTCAGAATATTTTGTCATTACAAAGTGTCTTCCTTTTTTCTAAACAATTGCAAAACCTGATGTAATTTAGGCAATCTTCTGGAGTTCTAAAGAAGAAAGCAATTGTAAATTGAAATTGCTCTCCAAGTTGCAAGTCAGGCTTTACCTTCACCTCCTGCCTATTGGTTGAATGCTTTGTTCTTCAGACTGTGCCTTTCATCTTTACCTCATGTATAGTAGAACTTGCTAAATAGCTGGAGATTTATCACTAGTTCAGCAAAGCTAAGCAGAGAGTGATGCAAGAAACTCTGAAAACATCAGGCAGCTTCAGATGTGGCATTCATCTGGACCTGGGTAAACTACTAGGACCCGACGTACTCCACAACTGATTAGAAAACTAAAAAAATTACTGCTTTTCTTGGACCCCTTATTTGGCGATCTGGTACTGAGTGCTCTCAGCCATGAAAACCCTTGCATGTCCTGTGAGTACTTCTCACCTTTCCTGAAGCCTTATATACTGAACAATTAAATCCTGGTCTGAAAGGCTTGCAGAAGAAGAAGTATTGTACAAACAGAGATTGTAAACACTCAATCATTGGCATATCTATTCTTCAAACTCTACTTTACATTCTTCAGTGTCTGCCCACTGCTTTTTTTACAGGTGGGCAGACTGTGTTCTAGTTCATGATTAGCCCTGACTCTATGGTTGGGAAAAGGTATCTCTGGTGAGGGTTAAAGGATTCTGGTCTCTTCCGTCCCTTGCACTGTACGTTCTGTGCAAAGTGACACTGTCAGGTTCATCCTGTGCACCTTATCTGAATGCTGTCTGCTGCTGCAGAAGTGTGAATGAGAGCAGAGGTGAAGGGAGGCCCTCAGAGAGCCCCTGTCTTCCTCTTCACCTAAGCTGGAATTGTGGGTCCTATTCCTCCTGCCTTCAGACCTGAGCCCCTGTCTGTATTGGGTGCAGTGTTTGTTGTGCCAGTGCTGGGTCTGCCCTGCTGCTTTATGGAGGTGAGCCAGGTGTGTTTTGAGTTCCCTGGGGTGCTCAGGACACTGGGATTTATAAATGATGTGGTGTAGGCAAGAGTAGCCACTCTGTGTCTTGGGCTGCAAACCACTCCTTCATAAGCTGAGAAACTCGGTGCCCAGAGCTGCTTTCTTCAGAATTTGTTTTTGTAGGAGCACTTTTCACACATCCCCGAAGGAGATTTCTTAGACAAATCTATGTTCTAATTGCCAGTGCATCTTTGGGAACAAGGGAAGCTGCAGGAGCTCTCCTGGGTGTCCTCCACTGCCATCAGACTTCTCCTCATGTAGTCTTGCTCCTCACCACAGCTGAGCATGAGCCCATGAACTCTGGATTCTTTGGGTATGGCTTGCACCTTGCAAGTGAATCTCAGGTATTCTGAGTACTATCCCATAGGTATATTTCTCTGTTGTGTATGATGGGTAGATAAAAATAACATAGCAACAGTAATAACCACAACTCAAATATGAAACTGATTGTTAAGCTGTATCACTAATGAGGCCATCTTCTAACACTGTAGAAAACTGAGTGAGATTTTTCAGTCTCTTATCCTACAGGCTTTTCTATAAACTTAAAGGAAATATGTTTTCTTGGGTTTTGGATGGAACTTACTGTTTGTACCTAACACTGTTCTAACTCCATACTTGGCTTCCCTGCTGATACTCCAGATAGATGCTGTCTCCCTGTTTGTAAGAAATTCTATTATTGTCTTATGAGCAAACTTCAGAGGGTAGTCTAAAACAGTCTTAAGCACAGTTAATCCTTCTTTAGATAAGGTTGCCAGAGTGACAACCCAAAAAGAGCGAGAGGTGGAAAAGATATTTGTGGCTGAGGCTTCATAGCCACAGAAATCCTGGCACATGCTCAAGCCCCAGCCTAGGGCCAGGCAGGTTTTTTGTCCAATCTGTTGCTGCTGGAAGCCTGTTTTGTTACTTTACCCTGCTTATGAATACAAATCTCTTTCCAATTTGCACACTAAATTTCTTAGTCAGATGTATCATTTTTTTTACTGTGTTTCTTGAAATTAATTGGTCTTCTTTAACAGTGACCCTTTAATTTATTTTGGAACACTGACAGTGCTATCTCTCCCTAGCCCAGCTAAGCAAATCAACCTTTCTTCAGGCTCTTCATATTCCTCAGTTGTAGAGATTCATGTTCCTGCCCTGGTCTGGTCTAATTTTAGGACCAAATGACAAGAGCTCTATACACTACCCTAGTAAAATGACTTCTGTAACATCTCTTTCTGTGAGAGACACTGTCTAATACAGCATTTGCCTTTCTTGGACAAGTGGCTAATTGCCAGTTATTCAGAATTTTCCTTATCTTTATACTTTCCTAACACAGTTTTTTCTGAATCCTTATTGTTATCATGAACTTATAGTTGTTGATACTGTTTTTTTTCCCTTTACTTAAATATTCTGCTACTGTGTTTTCTTTTCCAGCCATGGAGTCATGTTTGCCAATTTGGGAGGTATATTACAAGTTTGGTCTGTGGGACTTTTCACCTTTCTTTGACTAAAAGGTGTTTTCATCAATACAAACCAGCAGAGTAGGCCTCAAAAAAAGATCCCATACATGAGATCTTTTCCCATAAATGGGGAAAAAGTTTTTGTTCCTTTGTTGATTTTTTCTTCAAACATTAATGGAACATGTTAATGCAGAGAGAATAATTTCTACAAACAACCACCACTCCAGGGGAATAATAAAGATTCAAAAGATACTTTCAATACATTGGTTACCCAGTTGTTGGTATGGATGAGAACTGCTTCCTTACATTCTCTGTGCCCTGGGTGTTTTCTGAGAAGAGCTGGTTTCAGTAGGTGAAAGAGGCTGTGTGACTTGTGTGTGCTGGTCTCTGTGCATGACTTCAGCCCCAAATAATGTGGTTTTTTAGGGAGTGGTCTGTGTGCCATCATTGTTCATGGCTCTAGAACTGAGTTCAGCAGTAGTGTGAAGTTTGGAAAAAGATCCCACGGATCAATGAGAGTATGAGTGAGAAGTGCCTTAGGTTTAACTAACTAGCAAGTAAAAGTCTTGGAGGCAGTACAGAAATAAAAGCAGGAAAGCGTATCCTTGAGCTGCTGAATGAGCAAAACCAGCCTAGAAAGGAGTAAATTTATATGGTAAATGAGTGGGTTTTGAACAGATATTCAAGCAAGAAAGAGCAAATCTCCTGCATCTTTAAATAAGCAAAGCAACCTAAAAACGAGAGTAAAACCTAAAACCAGAGGTGCACAGACTCCACATGATCTTCTCTTTCCTGGACATGAAGATACAGTACTAGACACCAACATGACAGAGAGCAAGGTTCTAGAGAAAAATGATCTTTTAGATGGCACCTGTGTGCAAATCACACCAAAATGAGTATGGCATGTGTTCTTTGTAGATTTTTTGTCTGACAAAAACAAAACAAGAAGTGGTGCAAGGTCTGGTGAGCATGTAAATACTTTCTCTGGAAACAAATCACTTCTCTTATGCAGCTGTCCAGAAAACTAAGCAGTAATTACGCTGGAGATAAACCTGTGTTGTAGATCAAAGTTTGGCAAAAAATGTTTAAACAAGACGAATATTTTTAAGGCAGGAAAGTGTGGGAGTAGAGGGGAGGACAGAGGGGAGAGAACGAACTGGCAGAGTAAGGAAAGAGCTCAGAGTTCAGGACTAGATCTTTTTCATGTAGTGTATTTAGGATGTGGAAAAAAAGGAAAAACTACAGGTAATATCTAAAGAAATTTTATATTTTGGAAAATGTTGGGTAAAATCCTCAATATCAAAGAAAAGAAAGATTTATTCTATTTTTGACTGGAGAGCTCAAATGCTACCAGTCTGTCCCACTTCTGAATGTTCGTTTCTGCCTGTGTTAGGCTGTTAGGAACTTGAAGTACTCCTGCCCTTCTCTGCTTCTCCTTAGTCTAACTTCTTGCCACTGGAGAGGGAAGGAATTGCAGTTTAGATCAAGGATGTGTAGAAATACTGAGCAAAAAGCTGACCAGCAAGCAGTTCTCAAAAGCCAAACAGGATCTGACCTGTGGGCACACTGGCATGTATTTTTTGATATATTTTAAGGTCTAGAAAAGAAACATTGATATGGCTTGTTTTTTCAACTTTCACCTGAAATGTGGTTCTCTTCTGGGAAAGGATGAGTCAGGAGAGGCTCCTTGTGTTCAGCAGAGCTCAGCCAAAGGGAACGCCTGATGTAAACTCAGGCACATGGGCTTGTCTCTGCTTGCTGCTTAATACAGTGACCAACTCCTGAGAGAATGGAAGCAGGGGGTTTTTTTGTTTGGTTTTTTTGTTTTCCTAATGGCTGCAAGTCAACAGGATTTATTTCCTATATTATAGAAACAGAATCCAAAATGAACAGAAAATCCATTCCACCGTGCAAAGGCGGTGTCTTTGGGGCTGAGAGCTGTGTAGCAGCTGCAGGAGTGTCTCCTACCACCATCTTCTGGAAGGCACCAAGAACTACAGCCTCTGACGAGTATTTAGGGTGTATGAGTAGTAAGCCAGAATGGGAACTATGGATGTCTTAGTGAAACACGTGCTGATCAATTTATCTTCTTCCTTCAGCCCATCTGTCAGGCAGCTTATAGCAACGATTTTAATAGAGTTCATCTCCTTTTGGAGCGCAACAGCAACTATCTGAATGTCCAGGACAGCTTCAGTGGAGACACTCCCTTAATTTGTGCATGTAGAAAAGGAAACAACAAGATAGTTAACTATCTTCTTAGAAAACATGCTGATGTCAACCTCAGAAATAAGGTAAGTAGCCACTGACTCTTCCTGTGTGGGACTATCCTTTCAGATTATTGGAGTGCCAGTGGGGACACTGGCAAGCACAAACCTCAAGTTTGTTTCCTGTTGAGGATATGTGGAGAAATGGGTGGAGCAAAAAGGCTTCTCTGCTTATTTTGGGGCCCTGCGTCCAGCTCCATTTTGTCAGCCTGTAGCAAGTTTAACATTGTAGCACAAAACTTTACAGACCTGCCCTTTAGTTGCTTTGGTATATTCAGTGCTCAAAGATTTTTTTAACCTCTGTTCTCAATAGGAGTCTGTGGTGGTAATTGCTACTTTCCTGTTTTTCTCTGATGTTCCAAGAGATGTCCTAAGGTCTCACATTAGTGAGACCTGGCTTGAGCACCTCCATAAGAAGGGGGGCTCTGGTGATTCCTCCTGCTGATTTACATTGCTGTGTGGCAGCAATAGCCACATGAGATACCCACTATCTCCTTTGAACTTCTGCAGCCAGGTCCAAGTTTGCCAACATACTCGTGGAGTCCTTTGGACCCCACATCCTCCTTGCATGTGTAGCCTGATTTCTATGACCCTCTACGTGTTAAATGTGCTTCTACTTGAAGGAAACAAGATGCAAGCATCTATTTCTGCTTGAAAATCACAGGAGATTTTCTATTAGATAGTCTAAAAGAAAGCTTGTGGAATTTGAAGTGGTTTACTCTTGTCAATATTAAGCAAAGTGAGATCACTGAATCTGGTACTAATCAGAGTTTCTTTGTGTTTAGAAGGACCGCACTTGCCTCCATTATGCTGTGAGAAAACGCTTTACCTTCCTTGACTATGTGCTCATCATAATCCTCATGCCAGTTATGCTTATTGGATACCTGCTCATGGTGAGCCTGCATGGAAGCAAGAATGAACCTGTATCTTTCTCTTGAACATATTTTTCATGGCAGTGTTTCAGTCTAGGAACCTCTATAGAATATGGACTGCTTTCTTAAAGAAAGACTGAATGTGTACAACAGAAGGAGCAGGGATTTTGCTGTGACTGTAGCTGGTGCAGTAGCAGATTTGTATTACTGCATCAGTGACATTTCCAGAGATCATGTCTCTTTTTCGGAAAAATCCTGGTATTTGCACAAATACACTTAAGACTATATACTGATGAACTGTTTTACTGTGCTGCTCTTTCCCTTGCACCAAACAGGTCTCAAAGACAAAGCAGAATGAACACCTGGTCAAGATGTTGCTTAGAGCTGGAGTCGATGTGAATGCTGCAGACTCTGTAAGTGGGTTTATGCAAATGCAAATGTGGCTCACATGGAGGAAACAATACTAAAAACAGACTACAGAACCTTCTAGCAATATAATTGGAGTAGGAGCATCAGGGACTGAACTGACCGATGTAACAGGAGGATTCAGTGTTTCTGCTTTACACTTAGGCAATAGATTTATAGTGCACACAGAAATAATTCCCCACTGATCAACTAATCCTCTCTTTCTGAACAATGCCTTCATAAAAGAATCCATAAGAGGTACTTATGTATTATATACCCAATTCTGTAAAGATTCTAGTGATATAAGCATCTGAGTTTATCAACATTTATAAGATTTTGAACTAGAAAAGATTTGTGGGCTACAGGGCAAGGCCCTCTGTCTTCTCTTGCTCTTCAGAGTGTGCTGATCTGCCATATATATAAAGTTATGTATCCACTAGCCTACTTGGCACAGATAAAGAGCTTCTCTCCTCTAAGGTAGAAAAGGAGAAACACCAGTTTTATCAGCAATGAAGTTCTAAAACACTGAAGTGGAAGCAAATAGTATTGCTTAAGATGTAGTTTCTGAGATCAAGCTCATGTGATCCTCTAAAATTATTGGCTTCTTGCTAATGTATCAAACCTGTTTTAGCAGTTGCATCCCAGGGAAGGAATGAATTTTTTTGTTCCTGTTTTTCTCATGGTAACATATTTGTTTTACTGTGTAGTGTATTGTGACAGGAAATGGTATGTATGTTTTGCATCCAGCTATTAGGGGAAAACTGATAAGGCTACAGGTAGTCCTACTTACCTAAGTACTACTAAAGAAGTCACAGAAATAAAATTAATCTGCTTCTGTTTCCCTTCAGTCTGGCAGCACAGCCCTTCACTATGCCTGTGAAATGAAAAACCAAGCAGTCATTCCTCTATTGCTTGAAGCTCATGCAGACACTTCTGTAAAGAATCAGGTAAGAAGGTGAAGTTGATACATGTATTTGCTTGTCATGGTGGCCAACCAGTAAGCCCATTGTAGGCCTTAGCTGGTGCACAGCAGTTTAAAGATGAGGGTGCACAGCTTCCTGGCAGCCAATTTGTTTCCTCTTTGGTATGAAACATTCACTCCATTGCCTTTGTTCACAAGAGCAACTTTAGAATATGAATCCTTCACTGCTGGATTTCTACCAATAAGTTCTGCCTGAGTGTCCCCTGGGTTAGCACATATCTTAGCTATCTTTGTGTTGCCTCTTCTTAGCTGGGAGCTACTCTATAATTATTCCTAAGATGTAGGCTGCAGGGTAGGGATAATAATCTTTCTAGGTGGTTTTTGTGCTGCTAAGCACCCTTCTTCTGAGAGGGTAAGTCAAGCTGCTTCTGTCACCAGAACAGCTCAAGTGTTGCCCAAATCAGTATTGACCTGGGAGTATCCACACTACTGAGCTGAGGTGAGCAGTGTATTACCTATTTTGCTCTTGAAATCAAATCTTAGCTGAGCTCCCTACATTTGGATATTACACCCAGGAAACAGTGGAAAGGCTTTCCCTACTGCAGGGGAGGTCTCTGTTCCTTTCTTCAGACAGAGCAGTATTAGACTCAGCATGTTCACCTTTATTTTAGAGCAGAAGTGACAGAGGACCTTACACAAGTGGCAAAGTTAGGAAATCTCTTTGTACTTGACTCATATCTATCATATTGCAATATGTTTCATGTGTGTCTTTCAGGATGGGGAGACTCCCTTAGATATAGCAAGAAGATTACAGTTTCACAACATTGAAAGCATGATAACAAAAGATTCTTAGCCATCCAGGACTCTCAAATATGCAGAAAATTACCTCATCTGACAACCCATCTTTCACAACAGCAGAAGTCCTGCAGACAATGAGGGCTGATACTTGAAAAAGACTTGGTCTACATCCACCCATTCCTTGCTGCAGACTTGGACAATTTTGTGTGAGGTTTGTCAGTACCCCAAGGCCATGAGTGGGCTGAAAGAAGTTAATTTTATTTTACGAAGCCATGAATTACTACATTAGTGTTCAAAATATTGCTTTTCCCATCTGCTTCATCAGTTTTATTACTTGACTTCTGCAGACTGTGGATTTTGAAAGCTAGCTATAAAATATCTGGAAGCCTAAACATTGCATATGATGGTTGGCAGCCAATGCAAAAATAAAATATTCTTTAGAATGTGTATTACTTGTTCCATAGGGGAACTAAACAATATGCTACAACAGTTATAAAAGGTCTGGTACCCTTCTTCTTGTTATTTCTCTTCCTACAATGGGAGGGGCTGGGAAAACACATCTCTCAGTTGAGCCCTTCCTGCTTCCATCTTTCCTACAATTTTCACACACCTCAATTCTCACTGTGTTGCTACAAGGGTAGGACCATCATCTTTTTTTTTCATCTAAGAAACAGCAAAAAGAGATTCAATGCCTTGCTGGAGACCATAAAGAAAGCAAATTCCCAGATCACTTTAATACATTAAGAAATAGTAAAGAAAATATGTTTGGCTCAGTAGAGTAACAGGTCTCTTGACTACCTTTCCAATATAAACAGTGTACTAAAGAAAAAAGGAGTCAATAAATGAAATGCTGTTGATGGAAACCAGATGTATCATTCCCATGGGACTAGACAGGATAGCATGCTGTACAGAGTGGTGCATGCAGCAGGGGATAATACCAATCATAATAATAATATATCCATGAGTCTTCTCTTGCTTAGGTGAAGGCAGAAGAAAACCTGCAGTAAAAAGCAATGTACTAAAGTGGCCCAGTGCTTTGTCATTTAATGATGCAGCAATAAAAGGGAAACTCCTTTCATATGCTGCTTTGCTTTCATATGCCTCCTTGGTCTAATGGATCTTTATTTTTGTTGACAATTTTGGCCTTTCCTTGTAAGCTGTCAGAAGTGCAGTACAGCATTGTTAAAGAGTGCTACAGTAGATGCATGGACAAGCTAGTGTACTTTTCCTGCATTACAAAGAGAGATACTTTTCACTATTTTGTAACTATTGTATTGGATATCAACTCCAAATACAAAGGGTCTTGGCTGGACAAGAAGAGCTTGAGGCTGCAGCCAGAAACACCCCATGAAACAAAGCTCCTTGCTGGAGCTTGTAATAATGAAGGTTTTGTGTGCAGTCTGGGGACAGACACTCCAGATCAGTAGGTGAGAAGAGGGGAGGCACTTGCATGGGTTATGAAGACACCATCTCTTCGGGCTAATGGCCAGAAAGGGAAAACATCCAACTGCTTTGCCATGTTTTAGGAATTGCTTGAATCAAAATGGCCGAGACACAGAGCTGTGTAAAAGTGAATGCTGAGAGCTCAGAGTGCTTGCAACAGCTTCACTGCCAGTGTGAAGAATAACTCATAGGGTGGAAGCTGTATTGCCTGGAGTGCACCTTGCTGGATGGGTCTACATCTCCTTATTCCATAGCTGCCATCCATGGTCTTTGAAACTGTGAGGGGTTCAGAGTGTATGAACTAACATTTGAGTGATTCTTAGGCATGGAGGGAAGAGGAATACTTCTATCGATTTTTTGAGGTTGGATTCCTTGATGTTTTGTAGTCATCTATTATCTGATCAGTTTCTTGTGCTTGAAGATCTCTTGTTTGTGTTGCCATTAAAGGGTAATTTGAGAAGGGAAAAAGAAAAAAAGAAGGGTTCTCTGTCAAGGGGATCAATAATTTAATTTAAACAAAATTGTTCATTTCAACAGAGCAAAGATCAAATCATACTTTTGGGTCTTCATAGGAAGACAAAAATTGGGCATGAGAATGCCTCAACTGGGTAAATAAGATCTATCTGAGAAAATAGAATTTAGGCTTAGGAAAATTCGTCTTGTAGAAATAAAAACTGTTGAAATTCAGTGATCCCTGAAGTATGTATTCAAATAGATTCATGTTTTCAGCTTTCATTCTTACACACCTCAGACTTCTCAGGAACACAGCAGTCACAGTAACACCATGGAAAAACTCAAATTATGAGGAAAGCAAGAAATAAATAAGAACAAATAAATAGCTATAGATGTATCCATTATGTGTGCCTGTGTGTTTACCCCTTCCCCAGATACCACCCTTATCGCCAAATAGAAATTTTGGAAGTTTTTGCAATCAACACTCTGCTCATGGTTTCAAAAATATTTTCTCATTAATTCAATGATTTTCAGATACATTTTCTCAGTTGCATCAAGGCCCCAGATGAAATCAAGATGTCCCCATGGAGGAAAATTCTCGTGGTAAATGAGATTAGTAATCCGAGGAAGTAGTCTTGCCATGTCTTTTGGGTTTGCAAATTTGTCCTGTCCACCACTCCAAACAGCAGTTGGTATCTTTATCTCTTCTATTTTGTACACAGGAGGAGCAGTCTGTAAGACAGGGAGGAGACCTGAGTGAGTGCTGCTGTATCAAAGTTGTGTTTAGAGAAAGGTTTCTGTGCAAGCACCTCTCTTTGTTTTTGCTTCTGCACTGCCTACAATAAAACCGTAAGGATGAAGGCCACCCTCTTATTGTTCGTTGCCCTAACCCCTTTCCCTGTCTGTGGAATGACCCATCCTATTCCTGTTCTCTCTATAAAGCAGGGCTAAGTCTTGCAGTTTGGCCCTGGCTTGTGCTTTTCAGAGGTGTGGAAAGAACAGTCAGTATTCATCAGTCAAGGACTCTAGAGATTTTTCCTGTGTATTCAGGGCAAGGAGATCTATAAGTTTTTTGGGGTGCATGGACTGCAACTTTTGGTTTTCATGTTTGAAACTGAAGTGGAAAGGAAATAATTTGGTCATTTATGATTATGCTCTAGAAAATTTCTGAGTGTGTGAGATAGAAGTGACTGATTGTAGCTCTGGAGCATTGTGAAAAACAGAATTTTGGTACAGCTCAGGACACTGCAAGTCAAATGTGCTGAAATGATTGCCAGTCCACTGGAGAGGTCACTGTAGCTGTGAGATCCATTTCCTCTCTTAAACAAAAGGCAGGCTTTGAGGATTTTTGGGCAAGTGAAGAGCTCTACTCATCCAGTCCTAGAACTTGGGTGTGGTTCTTATTCATTTTTGGAATGACATGTAAGTTGACATGTCCTGGTATCAGTATCAGGTATCAGTAGGGGAGGCAAAATGAACTTCTGTTAATTGTCTGTAAGAGTCTATCTCTGCCTTGTTTGTGAATAGACTTCTACACGTGTGTGTGATTCAGCTGAAACATTATCTAGGACCACTCTCCCCCTTGTTAGAACTCACAGGTACTAAAATTTGGAATTTCCTATCACCAGTTTTACCAAGACCCAAGGATCAGTTCTGAGGGAAGCCATTTTGCCTTACCTGGTTGTATTTCTTCATGTTTTCCTTAGAACCATAGTCATAAGCTTGAAACTGGTCTGTATGTGCTAGCTGTTAAAAGAACAGACAAAATAAAAGAGATGAGAGATGAAGGAGGAGAAATGCAGGAGGCATATTCCTGCCTGTGAGTTAAGTCAAGGCTCAGGTAGTGGACTGTGGTTATTCCCACACCTTTCTCTGGTTGCAGGCTTCCAGGGTGCTGAGGATAGATCCCAGGGCAAGTGGCATCCTTGCCTTTTCTCTTGCTAACTTTCTGTTATGATCCTTATCTTCCATCCTCAGTATGTTTTGTTACCTGAAATCTTGCTTTACTACCTTAGGTAACTAAAGTTGGGGTCCCTGTTTGTCATGCAGAGTTGGGTTCAGTGGTCACATGGAAAGAGAACCTGAACATCTATAATGTGTCAGGGCTATTATAAGCCCTGTGTAATATGCCTTGCAGGACTGGTGAGTGAATACCTGGAGGTATTTGTTTGTTTTGGTAATCTAATTTTTTGCACAAACATGACAAGTAATTTCACTTGTGAGTGGTGTGTAATAAAGGGTGAGAGAAACCCAGTGTCTGTCACTTTAGAAGACCTTTGCTTCCAGGGTTTAAATAGAGGCTAAAGATCTGCCTGGTGCATTGCCTTTGCTGTTCTATTTTCCTGTATCAGTGTTTGCTTTGCATTCACTTGATTTTGTTAGAGGCTGGCAAAATAGACCATAGAGTCACCAGCTGCTCATGGTTTGTGTCCATTTCTTGGCTTGCTGTATCCTGTGGGACTGACTGTTGGGAATCTTTGTCTTCAGGAGCACATCTATATTCTGGGCCACATTAAATGTGCAGATGTTCATGACAGTAGGTGAGAAGGTATGACGGTCAGTTTCCTAAATCCAAAGCCTTTGAATTTCCCTGTAGGCTGTCAATTGCATAAAAAGCAGTAGTAAGAGTAGTAAGAGATTGTTTACATGTCAGTGCAGTTATACCTGTCGCCAATGAAAAATGTTCTGTACTGATGTTCCAGCTGGGGAATGTCCTACGTACATATCTACTCGACTCTGGAGAGAAAGCAGAAATTTTATAAAGACAAAGATCCAGTGCTGTGACAGAATGAAACTGTGAAGAAAGTGAGTTTTTAATATTAAAGAAGTCAGCTTACAAAATATTTTTTATAGTTCTGTCAAGGAAATGTCCCAATTCCATCTCCCTGAATTCTTCCTCAGCTATGTTATCTTACTCTGAGAACCACATTAGTGACTTAAGCATGGCAGGAAATATCCTTAATGGTTTAGCTCTGCAATTCAAAAGCTGAAATTGATTTTGCATTGAACCTTTGAGTCTAACTGCTTTCCCATATGTGCTTTTAAAAAGGATTATAGATGAAAAAAATGAGCCCAGTTGTTACAGACACTGCAGTAATAAACATTACACAGGCCAGCTTCTGCATACTTTGGCCACTGTAAAGAGGACTGGCACCACAGCATCCATATATTGGCAAGCAGAGGGAAAACTGCTGCCTCTCCTGTCCCCTCTGAGTGATGCACAAGTGTTTGTGAATCCCACTGTAGGTGTGCTGTGTTCCTCAACACAGTGGAAGGGCTTTCTGTAGCTCTACACCTTGTGGATTGAGTTGTTGGGCCCAACAAAACCAGGAAATTGCCCCTTACAGTAGTTCTTTGGTGTGGAGGCCCATGGTCCTGCCATGGCTCCACCGGCAGCCTTGTCCTGGAAGGATGTCCCTTGAATGGGATGTCCCTTAAATGGGCTGTGATTAGCTTATCTCAACCCTCCTGGAAAGATGCTCCTTAGGTTGGCACACCTTTTCTTATCATGATGAGCTATCCCTGAAAAGCTTCTGTTATTCCACCATGCCCTGGTACCCATGTTAATCCTTTGTAACCTATTGGTCTTTCCCCCTGGTACTGCCCTTGCTTTCCCCCATAAAAACCCCAGTATTCCCCCCAGTTCTTTAGGGAGCTGTCGTCCCTGGCTCCTTTCACAGAGCTGCTGGATAATAAAGGAATCTCTATGGAATCTCCATATGATGCTCCTGTCTCTCTGTCCCTGAGCTGACCTGGAATAGCCTCGCAAGCAGAGCTGAAATCACTGAGCTGAAATCACTGATCGGAGCTGATCGCTTGTGGCCACGGCCACAGCTTGCTGAGGCTTATCCAGTGGCTAGGAGACCAGCCACTGGATCTAGGGGGGATCTTCTGATCCCCTAGAAGGCAGTTCCTTGCGGGACCCTCTCTCTGGGAAAGTTGGCAGCTTCCCAGGTCTGGAGCATCGGATCTCCACGGACCCCCTGGCAGTCAACACTTTGGGACCAAGTTTTGGTGTAAATAGTCTGAAAATTGGAAAGAAGAGGTTTTTCTTCTGTCTTTTAACTATTTCAGTGTTCGGAGGACCCCAGTGTCTATATGTTAAGGAAGGAAACTGGCAACTGTATTGCCAAGAAATCTGGCTCCATCACTCATTGTCTCTTTTTAAAGAACATCTGTGTGTGACAAAAATCTGGTTGGCTTAGCCCCAAAAAAGGGTACATCCTGACATATGCAATATAGCTCCAGTTCGAACTCAGCTCTTCCTTTCTGGCATTGGAATGTGCCTAGCTGTTAGTCCCACCCATCACCAGCCTTAGCCATGTTGTCACTGTTTACAATACACAATTTCTGGAATTCTCAGTCTGCTGAGAACTATTCTGTGGTTTATGCACATTTACATGTGTGATGGTAACTAGACAAGGATATAGTGCATGAGGGCAACTGCCAAAATCCCTTTAGTTATGCTCTGAGTAGGTGTTCTTGCATATACTCACCGTGTTGATATTTTTCACACTGCCTCCAGCTATGTAACAGAGAACATGGGCACAAAACTTATCCAGGCTTGTACAGAGCTGTGTCACAGGTCCTTTCAGAAATTCAATCTGGTGCGCAGCTCCTTTGCAGCCAAGTACTAGCTGAGGAAAAAGTGCAACACCTTTTGTTCTTGTTACAGTAGAATTTTATGCAGAAAATTGTGGCTAAAAGCCTAGCCTTCATAACTTAGTCTTCAAGGAGTCCTGGAAGAGCTTACCCTCACAGTACCCCGTAGAACACTCTCTTCCCCACAGCACATTTATTCTTCCTCCTCCATATTACTATCAGCAACCCTCAAGGAAGCTATCCTTCCATTTCTAGTGTGCTGACCTTAATGCCTATTCATTCTTGAAGTCCTAGAGATTGTCATGTCTGCTATTGCAGTTCTGCTTTAGCTCCTCCACCATGAGGCCAGCAAAATTTTAGTCAAACAGCAGGAATCCTAAAACAGGACAGAGTTTCACAAGTTTCCTACTCCATTGGAAGCTTCTGCTGAAAGCTCTATATCTGAACTCTTTTCACTACAGGGTTTGTGAACAGTTTTTTTTGAGAGCACTCAATTCATCCCAAGCTCAGTGTCAGCATGTCACTTGTTTGGGAACACTTGGCCTCAAGCTGAGGGAATCCTGTGAAGATTAGTCAGGCATTGGAACTCTTAGAGGGAAAAAGTACATACCCTGAGCAGTGGTTCAGGAAGATTTGTTATCTTAACCAGAGGGCTTGTAGCATGTAGGCATGCAGTTACTGGGCCCAGAGCAAAGAACACTTTCACCCGTTTAGCCAGCTCAGGGTGTGTATAAAATGCTATGAAGCCTGCAAACACAGAACAGACAGCCTAAGCTAGTGAAGATATTCTCCACAGACAAATTAAAAACATAAACAGTAGATAGCAAACAAGACATCATAGTAGATTTGCAGCCCATTGTCTATTGTTCATGTTTGTGCTGCATGTTTTACTTAAGGAAAGTGTTGAAGCAAGGTCCTGAAACTAATTTTATTTGGGAAGCAAAGTTAATTTTAAGATTCAAGGCATGTCTGGGCATTGTCTTTATCAGAACTGTTTTTGTAGGCAACATGTCAGTGAGGATTTGAAGATAACATCATTTCCCTCTAAAATTCATGAAACTCTCATAAAAATGAATTTTTCAGAAAGGAGTCTCTAAAGATCCATGCATGTTTATGCTTTCATGAAACTATAGAATAATTAGCTGAATGCTGGGAGCTTTGAGTGTTTTCAATCGATTGCTTGCATCACAGGCAGATGAAGAAAGCCTAGGTGCTTGGTTTGTTTTGCCATGAAGGTCCTTAAATACTCTTATGAGAAGCAAAGAAAGAAAAGGTCAGAATTTGAGACAATATATGATTTTTCCACACTGCCTTCTCTTTTTTTTCTGGCTTGCTTACACTGGCAGTGGCTCCTTTCTAATCAATGTCCATTCATAGATCTTAAACATAAACCATAACCATCAAGAACTTTCAACTTATGCTAAAAGAAATTTAGCTGCATTCAGAGGCCATGAAATGAGTAATGACAAAGGCTGGACCTAAGTGAAAATAAGCTATTAATGTTAACTGTTAATGCTTTTGCTGTCCTGATTTTTGGTCTCTGGCACTATGTTTCTAAACAGAAATGTGGCCAGTTATAGCCACTCATGAACTACAATTTAAATTGTAATATTGACAATAAGTCATGACTTAGTAATGTTAAGATTATTTTTCCTTGCCTCCAAGCAATTTAATTTAAATAAATGTATTCATTTAAATTATGTATTATATGGACTGTTGTATCTTTTTAGCTTTTCTATCCTGTCCACAAGAACAGGGTCCCCAGGGCAGTGGTCATAGCACCAATCCTGCCAGAGTTCAAGAAGTGTTTGAACAATGCTCTCAGGCACATGGTGTGATCATTGGGGCTGGCCTGGGCAGGGCCAGGAGTTGGACTTCAGGGATCCTATGCCCCTTCCAGCTCAGGATATTCTATGATCCTAATTGTCTGTCCTTATACGAAAAAAACTTCATGTAAATTCCTGTTGCTGAAAAAAACACCCTGTAGCAGTACCAGAAGTACCCAGTAAATGATCGTTACTACGTCTACAATTATTTAAAAAGTTAAACTACCACTGCATGTTCTATTAGGTTGATTTGCTTCTTAAAGGTAACCAAGCCTGGTTTTAGAAAAGTTTTGCATATTTTCCAAATCTCAACACAGAAAAATCTCTATATTTTCCTAGCTCTCTACAAACAAGAAAAACAACAGAATCAGTGGAGAGAGTCACCTGTGGATCAAATGGTTGTTAATAACTCTCCTGATATTACCTGCAGTTGTCCCTTCAGAGTGACCAATATAGTAAATATCCTTCTGCCCAGTTTTATTCATGATGAAGTTCAGCTCTGCTGGAATATCATATTTACCGATTTCATCGAAGCTGCGGGGAGAAACACAAAAAGCTGGCAGACAATTTGACTATCAGAGTGGGAGTTACTGACTGTCAGTTTTGCTCATTGCACCGAGCAGGACCCATTGAAGGAGGAGGTTGCACACTGTGTCTGTATCCTTGCTTGAGCTGGAGAAGTGGGCAGAGGGGTGCAGCTGTGCAGCCTGGCTGCCTGATGCCTTGGGCTCTGTGTGGATCAAGTGCCAGTTTCATGTGACAGCTGCAGCCCTTGGGGAACTGAATTTAATCAGTGCTTTCACCTGCATGGGTTACAAAACACATTTCTCTCTTGGTTGAATTCAACTGTGAGAGATCAGATTTCTAGACAAGGCTGCTCAGCATGTTCCAGCTGAAGTTCTTGCTCTCCCTCTCACAGTATATCCTCCCTTATCCTCAGCATCCTGTTTCATTTCCCAGTTTCTGAAATCTCTTCCCCAGCCAACGCTCCCAACTCTGAGTAGTAGTGAACATCCATCTTTGTCTGGTTCTTTACTCTCCTGGGTTGGTGTAGATCCTGATCTGATGCTGCTTTAGGTAAAAGCCATCAGTCTGAAGCTATCTAGGAGTTTCTATGTTGAGTCTTTCTCCACAGAATACCTGAACTGCCAGAACTCCTTTTGGCAGGGCTTAAGAGTCTTGTGTTTTAAAGACCAGGTGTTCCCTCGGCTGTTTCCCAACCAGACATCGTAGCCAGCATCTGCAAGGATGAAGCCCAAGCTGTTGTTGGGCAGGTTGGAAATCCAGTGGGTAGCATCTCCTAGAAAAGCATGTTGTAGGAACACTGCAGGCCTTTGCCCTGAAAAAGATTAAAATATTATTTTATTGGAACAGCAATTAATGTGTTATTAATATCGGAGTGAAGAGTTCATTTTGTGAGAGGTTTCCTTCTTCTAGAAGCTCCCAGGAGAACTACAAATAGATATTGGTTTGAGAAACCTGAAGGATTTTTTTCTATGCAAGCGGGAACCATTTAATGACATTTCATAACCATTTTATGACAGGTCTGGCAAATAACGAATTTACTGATGATGCCTGTCCTACCTCCTCTTGCACTGAAAGCCAGCTTACAGCCCCTATGCTGAAACCATCTACCCAAAGCTGAAAACTGCTGAAGGAATAACTGTATGGAAGAGAAAGAAAAAATAATCCAAAGAAGGAAATCCACTTTGGTAACCATTGAGCAGAGCTGAGATCCAACTAAGGCCAGCCCAGTTACATCAGCCCTCTGATCTAACTGGGCTGGCCTTACTTTGAGAGTCTGGCTGGTCTAAATGATCTCCAAAGGAGATCCAGTTAGGGGAAGACATCCAAATAAGTCATTCTATAATATTAGCAAGGAGTAATAATCAAAGTAGTAGTACCCAGAGTACCTCAAATTCCAGCTAGAAACTTCTGTTCAATTCAGAAAATGTGATGAAACTGATGAAATGCATTTGCTTTTCACCGACAACCTGATTTACTTTCTCCTTCCTTAAAAATATCTCTGTCCTTCAGAAGCCTGGGAATTGTTCATATGCCTAACCTCACAGGCTTTGTTGTCAGGCTACTATTTTATATGTATATTATTTAGGTTGTTAAGGTAAAACCTCCCCAAATCCTGTTTACCAGCCTACCTGCCAGACCACTTGAGAGGAAAAAACCTCCAACCCGTGGATGCAACAAAATTATTAGGAAAGTCTGAAATAAGGACAGAGCTACTGAATGTGTAGACTTCAGATAGATTCAGTATTCGAGTCACACTTCTCACTAGGTGCTGTTGTGAAGATGGAAAGGTATGGAACATGCCATTGCAGGTGAAAAGGGGAAAGATGGAGAATGGAGTTGGCTCTCAGGCCTTCCTTGTGTCCTGTAACTGTGTCATACCTGTATTTTGATCCTTCCTCCCAGCAGGAATTCTGTACACAGCAAGAATGTATCCATCCTCTGTTGTAACTTCATATTCCTCGCTGGGGAATCCATGATATCTGATAATTTCACTCTATGGAAAGCCAAAGGAGAGTTTGTCAATGTACAGTTGTCCTGTTCTGGAGCCTAACCAAGATGAGCAGTGCAGATTGAGCAGTGGGATGTGCTGTGATGGCAGTGCAAGGCCCTGCTCACAGAGACCACGGCTGAGAATAAACATTACAGGCCTTGTAAAAAGATGAAGCAAAATCATTTTTTTGACTTGTTTAGTTGGTGGTTGTCCAGTATTTAGCCCCCTATTATGGGACAAAGCAGAACTGAGCTGAGTAGCAAACACTCTCCTAAGAGATAGTTTGTCACGTTATTCAAGGCTTATACAGATTGTACCTTTCTACAGATAAAATATGCAGCCGTATTTATATAAGTCAATGCCAATAGCTATGGGAATGCTCCATAATGAATCCTTTCTTGCAAAAGTGTGGTTACACAAGCCATGCAGGAAAGCAAACAAGGGTGGAGATCTTGTCAAAGGAACTAATGGTATCACTTATGTCAAATTTTGCATGTACTCCAAAGAAATCTTTGGTGACTCGGGGTAAGGCATCTTTGAGAATTTGCATTGTGAGAATCTGAAGAAGGGGTTCAACCTCGCTTACCACTGTTCTGAGCAAACAGTTTGTTATGGAAGGGCAGGCCTTTGCTTCACTTGAGATTAGAAACCAGCCTTTCCCTCCACTGCAAAGGAATTCTTCTCTGTGGCAGCCCAGACTGTTTGGATAGGAGAATCAAGGTTTATTCCAGGCTAGTGCTGCAATGTTCTTTGCTTTCTTGCCAGGTTTGCACTCCTCCACTTATGCAGTAGCCTGAAATACTGACATATGTTGAGAAAGCTGACTGCAAACAGGTATCATGAGCCATGATACAGTTCCACATTTTTCACATATCTGTTGGGCTTCACCCTAAATGCAGGCAGCAAAGTCTGTTCTTCAGTTTGGTATGGACTGGACCGTATAGTCTGTGCTCTGTCCACAGCCCAGGGCTGAGTCTGCCCACTGGGGTCAAAATTACATAGTCTGGATCTCCAGTGCCCCTCAGGAGGCTCTGGGGAGTTGCCTAGCCTTGGAAGCCAAGGTAGCAGGCAGCAGTTCCCACTGCAGTGCTACGTGTCTGTCCTCATGCAATGTGCAAGGGGCACATCTGTCCCTGGCACGTTCAGAGCCAGCCCTCATTGTGGAAGTGACCCTAAGGCAGAGGTTTTGGAAACAGCAGGCTGGGAAAACAGGAGATGCAGAAGGGGCTCTTCTTGGCTTTCCTGACAAGGACTGTTACTTATGCAACTGGGAGAGAAGCTTTAGGACAAAAGGGAGGGAGGTGACCCAGCTTACAACATTCATGAAGCATTCGGGGTTGCGACTCTTCTTGCAGTGGCTTGTGTCAACAGCTGGAGTGGAGGCTGCTGTGAATCCTGCTGAAAAGGCAATTCCTTGGGAGCAGAGCAGCACGAGGAGGCACCACATCTTGGGGCTGTGTGGAAGAGCACATGCAGGGGTGTTGGTGTTAGGAAGAGAGTGGTGTGGAATTCCACAGGAAGACCCAAGAGGAGAGTCTCCTGAAGGTGGCCCAAGAACTGCTCCCCAAGGACTGCCAGCATAAGAACCTGTGTGAGGATGGGCTGTCTACAGCTCACCCTGTTTAACAGGTAGGGCTGCAGAACAGGAGAGGAAAGCACCTGGGGATACCATGCAAGAAATATGCGTGAGCACTCTGCAGATTACAAGGGAACTGGGGTTGGTAGACGGGGCCAAGTCTTGGCACAAGCCAGCAGAAGCTTGGCAAAAAACTGAGCACCCGAGATGACCATCACACAGCTTGTCTGCCTTCATCTGTCTCCACCCTTCTGCCAGCGGCAGAGGTGAAGGGAGAAGAAAGCACTGTTTGTTTCCTGTTCCCTCGGGAACGAGGTGAAAGAGGCTCAGGATGGGCTCTCTTTGAACCTGCCCTCTCTTCCTCTGGGTCTGAATGCTGTTCGTGTGTCTGTCAGTGGTGTGCTGGGGTAAGGGACCAGATAATGAGGCTCATGAAGGCGCCAGGAGTAATTCATGCACTCTGTGAGATTTAATGGACGCTAGGCAACATGCTTGCATGTTCAGTGCCAGTTTGTGCTTCCCTCACAGGGTGATGTACCCCAGGTATAAGAGTTGGCTCTCAGACAGGATCATCACAGGGTGGTGATCAAGTTCTGTTTGAAATCAGTTCCTCTGAGAATATGGAACAAGTGACCATGTGTGGTTCCCAAAATGCCCATGAGTCAGTTCCTAGTCAACCTTACCTTTTGGCAACCATGCAAGTGCCATGAGGTATGAGCAATGGATCCTGAGATTGCCTTTGTGCTGCCAAGGGCCTGTCTCCATTACCTCTTAGAAATGGTTGTCCATAGTGCAAATCTTGTATTGGTCATGGGGAAGTGAGACCTTGCCCTTTCCTGGGACAACTGATGGTTCCAGATTAGCATTTCTGAACAGAAATTGCAGACTGCAGTCAATCGAGTACCAGTTTATGCCAACTCCATGTAAAATAGGTCCGCTTCCAGGTTTTAGTCTTTATTTTCTAGAACCCAGGTCAATGTAAGAACATTGCTCTCTCTGAGCTTCCCAGACTTTTTTTCAACAAGATAATTTTGACACAAACATCCCTTTAGAAAAGAGAATAGATTCTGTGGCCTAGGTGCTTTCTGAGTGTGGGATTATAGGTTAAAACTGTGTGGAGAGCAAGAGCTCACAAATTCAGCACTCCTTGCTTCTTATTTCTGAAGAACTGCAAAAAAAAAATTGATCCATGAAGCTCAGTACTGTGCTTACACATTCAGGAAAAGCCACATCATACATTAAACATCAAAATTTTTGTTTATGCTGTGCTTTAATGTGTGAGGAGAGAATGATGCCTGTGAAGAGTAGTAGTCATTCTGCATATGTATAAAGACCATAAAGATAAGGCAGGAGACCTAAATGTTCAACAGTAGAATCCATGGGACATAATGCAGTGTAAGGCTTCAGCTTATCACAGCATCTTGTAAGAATGCCTCACCAGTGATGGCTGGGCTTCCTCAGAACAGAAGGACACATTTCTGTGACTGTGGTGTGTTTGTTAGTTCACCCTCCTGTCCATCCTGTAATTGACTTTTGATGTAATTGTTAAATATCTGCCAAGTCCAGCACTGAGACACAAGCCTGCACAGTGATGGGGGGTCACAGCAGCTCCTGAGGACTGTTTGTCAGGGAAGGAATACTCCAGAGGGTTCAGCCTTGCTGCGGGGAAGGCAGGCAAAGGCAGCTGGTGTTATGTTCAGCAGCAGCCAGCAAGAGCGAGATTGTCAGAGTCTATGCAGTCTCACAGTAGCCATAGCATACAGGGTTTGTGAGTGAATTCCATAGGAGACCTGCCTGCCTTACAGTTTTCATTAGGAAGTTAAGCAGGCTCAGGAGACAAGTCTTTTGGGAATCAGGCATTAGACATGGAGAATGCAATTTTAAATGATGAACAGAGGTTCTCATGTAGTCACGTTTCTTGAGTCTGCTTCTAGCATAAGACATCTGCTATCATAAAATAAGGTGCTCTGTGAAGTTTATTTGTACTCAGGAATGTTCAGTATGAGGATCAAGAGAAAATAAGGAAGTATTCCCCATGAAGTAATGGGAAAGAAGAACAGAATTTGTGGAATGAGAGAGAGGTAAACAAGGAAAATATGTTTTGACTTTAAGTAATCTTCAATTTAACCTTTAAATTTGACTGAACAAATTTGAAGAAGTCAAACCTCATGACTCATCAAACAGTTGAAGTAAGGCAGCATTTGGAAACACCCAAAACTTTAAATTTGGCATCAAAACACACTTCATTAGATTCCCTTTGTATATCAAATACTTCCTAATTTTTCATCAAAACAAGAAGCCTCAAAACTATATACTCAGGCAGTGAAATATTGTTTTGTTTTCTGCTGTTTCACTCTGTTCTAGTGGGAGTAAAATATGCCTGCCTCTCTCTGCACTGGGAATCTCAATTTGGCAAGAAAAAGTTCTGCTAATATCTCAGCTTGTTTTGAAATCACTACCAAGATTAGTTGAGGCAATGCAGAGGCTTAATTATTCCTCTTGTTAAGGTAAACTTCCTTCAATGCACTCTGTGATCATCTGGCTTAGCTAGCATGGCTTATGGACTTCCAGGTACTGGTACCAGATGCAGGTGGCTAAGCAGCATCAATCTTGGCAGAGCACTGCTCCCTTAAACTCTAGGAATAAAGACAGGAGACACAAACTGCTGTTTTCATCGAGGCAGATGAAGTCATAAGTAGCTATTGAGCATGGTAAACTATCATAAAAGAATATGCTTAGATGGAAAAAAGATCAGAGAGAGAAATGCCCCTTGGAAGCTTCTCTACGTACTTTTAAGATTTAGTGAAGCTAAGAAGCAAGCCATTCTGAAATTTGTCCTTCAACCGTTGTGCCTTAAGCAGTCTAAAATTTACTTCATAGAAGCTGCAAGGCATACACACACCAACCAGAAGAGCAACTAAACATGCATGACTAAATATGCATGAGAATTCACTGCCTTACTCACTGAGAAAGCATACATGTGCATTATACGGAAGGAACAGGCAGACCACGTTACACATTGTTGCAATACTTGCTCATTCATTCCCTTGTTCTCAGAGGGAAGAAAACAAGTAGGAAAAAAATAAAAAGTTGCTTTTTTCCTCCCTTTTGTGAACGTCAAACTTCTTTGTCTTCTAGCTTAAGCAGAGAAGCACTTCTGTGCATAGCAATAAGCTTACAGATGAGAGAGGAAAAACTCTGCTTATTTTTACAACCAACTGCACAAAAGCAAGGCAGAATATCTTTATGGAGACAGGAAACAGAGAAAGAGACCCTGAGCAAGTATGTACAAGTAACTTACCTCTGCTTTGACTGCCTTGCTTCTGCCTTCTGCCACCGTGACTGGTCCGTCTCCACCAGCAGACTGATTCACTGGCAGAAACCTGCGCCGATAAAAGGAAGTCAAAACAAAATGAGCACTTCAGGGAAGCAGCTGTGAGTGTCATGAGTTGGCAGCACGTATTGCAGAGCGTGTTTGAGTGTGGATTTGGCAATATTCCAGAAGTGGGGAAATCTTTGTGATGAAAAAGATAATCTGGTTTAATTCATCACCCCAAAATGAACCATGGAGCAGGAGAGTGTAGACACTACCTATAAATCAGTGGTTAGTATGTTTAGCTGGGACCTGGGTGTTGCAGTTCACTGGGGCTGTGACAGACCTTGATCTGCACAGCTGCCCAACTGAGGGGCTGCTTCAAATGTCATCTTTTAAGATGAAAAGGAGGAAATGTACAGCTTTTCTCAACATAGTGTCTCAAGAACACTGTCTCTGCTATTGCTTTTCATTTGGTTTATATTAACTTTAACATTGCAGACTGACCTAAATCTGTTTTCCATTGAGCAGCACAACTCATGAAACCCACCTTATTCTGCATTAAGCACACTGCAGTGCCAAAGAAGGCCTGAACACTACATGTAACCTTTTTCCCAGTGAAGGAACAAACAAGGGCTCTTGTTTATCCTAAGCTACACCTCTGAAAACACAGTATCTGGAGATCTTTGCTTAACGGCTGAATTAGCTGAAGTCAGCCTGAGGGCTCCATCCTCACTGAGATTGGCTTGATGGCCACGGCCAGAAGGACTTGTTCTGTGTCCTTGGGCAGCTGGGCTATAAACTAAGTAGCATCCTCCTACATGAGGATCAGCCTGTTCAGCACAATTAACTAACAAGTGTCTTCAGAAGAACTTGAGTTTCATCATGGATTGATGAGCATTTAGAAGAACACCAGATAAGAGGGATGTGTTCTGAGGAGCACCATTGCAAATTGTACGATGCCTTTGACTACTGGGGGAAGGAAAAGAGTGAAACAACAGGATGTTGGTGACAGCACAGCAACAGTTCTGCTTTGCTTACAAAGAACATTGTTTAGCATAGTGAGAAAGGTAGTTTGATAATTTCTCAGTGAAAAGCATTATAACTTGACTTCTCTGATATTTGTAAGTGACAATAACTATCATCAAACCATAAACTGATCACTCAGAAGGACTTCTGCAACATGATGTCTCATCCCTTCTCATGTCCCAAGGTGGGATCAACAGTCCCCATGATGTGTCCAATGCTGTTTGCTCAACCTGCTTTTCCTGATTTTCCAGAAAATTCAACGCCCTGCCTCCTCTATGGTGTCCCAAGTTGCAAGATAGCTGCACAATTGCAATCTCGTTTCTAGGTGACTGTATGGAATGCTCTGCCTACTTTCATGTATGATGCTGCTGCATTTAGCATGGAAAACATTGAAAACTTATAAAGTATGTCTCATGTCCTCATACATTATCCCTACAAGCAGTGAGTTAGTTGAAAGATTGCCTCTCTGAAGGATATTTGTCTCCAGGAATTCGTATTTGATGGAAGGAATGTCCTTGTCTGGAAGGGAACTGTTTTGTTTGGATCAACCTCTAGTTATATTTGGGAAACAGAAGGCAACACAACAGCCTTCAGCAGTGGGCTCAGGAGATGAAAATGGCCTGCTGTTTCTCTTGGAAGGGAAAGGTGCAGAAGTGGTAACAGTCACAGTTAATTTGTTTGGCTAATGAACCATTAGTCAGAATGAGACACTGGTCCTTTGGTCATACAGTGTCACCAGTGAACTGTCCCAGTGCAACAGCTGCACTGTGCTGGCTAGCATCCCACGCTTGGCCCACATTAACATTTCATGGAAAAGGAGTATGAGGGTGTCAGGCTGAAAGGAAACCCCTAAGTGGACAGTGTTTCTTTTCACAGTGAAGCTAATGGCATTTTGTTTTGGAGGAATGGTGACCTATAATGGCTGTAACCTAATAACCACAGAGGTTACCCTCCAACTGAGTGGTTTTGTGCAGTAACTACCTATTTGAAACAAGATTGGTAGAGTCATAATTACCTCAGGGAATTAATAGGATGAATAATTCTTTAGCATTGTCTTGAAAGCAGGTCTTTCCAGTAGTGGACAAAATGCTCTAAATTTGCATGGGATGAAGATAATGGATTCTTTCTAGAATGTTTGGCTACTTTTCATTTTAGTGTTTAAACTCCAAAGAGCCTTGACAAAAGTTAGATCATCTCAGCTCTGTGATAGCCAGTAGCATTCATGTCAAACAGCAGTAGGTGTGAGGTTTCTTCTGGTTTCAGGGTGTAACTTTGAAGTAAATGGTCCCATGGAAGCGCTGCCATTGCCAAAAGGATTAATATTGAATCAGCAAGGATTTCTCTTTCTCAGGGTGGGTCTTGAAGCTAAGTTTCCCAGCTTCCAGGTGCATGCTTGAACCATGGTACTGGCTACTGTTTTCTGTTGGGTCTACCCTGTGTCTTTTGCTCTTCCTCATGGAAACAGGGAGCATTCCTGTTTCAAACAAAGACAAACAATCTTCTTTACAGGAGTGAGGTGTGTTTTGTATGAACTCACTTTCTTGTTTAATAATCTGTTTAATAATAAAATTATACAATACCACAACTGTTAGAATAAGATTTTGATTACACTATCCCTTTAAATAACTGCCAGCCCAATAAACTGAGCAATAATATGAAGAATGGAAAACATCTAGAGATCACAGAATATATCCAGAGAAAGGAAATGCTTTCATTACTGTTATAGTCTAGAGAAGACAGTAGGCTGGAAGCAAACCCTGTCTTCTGTTAGTAAAATACAATTATTGCAGATTTGAAGATGTGTCAACCGAAAAGGTATTACAGATCTACAAGGTTGCCAGAAAACATGAAGTGCACCATAAGGATGGAAAAGGCTTTGGAGTGACATGTAGTGTGCAGGAGGAATCTTTTCCCTGATTCCAGATGCAATAGAAGGGGGTTTTTATACCCAGTGAATCTATGTGTAGTTAAATGAGTCAGGTAAGGCTTCTGGTTGTGGGTTAAGGATACTTCTGCATCAGGTCAATAATTTCATTGTACACACGCAAAGGTGCATCCAATCCCCAGATGAAATCCAGGTGTGCCCATTCAGGAATCTTCTTGTGATAGCTAAGCTTCTTAATTTTAGACAATAAAATGGCTGCATCCTTGGGATCTGCGAGCTGATCTTGTCCCCCAGTCCATACTGCAGTTGGTACAGTCATCTCTTCTATGTTGTAGAGAGGAGGAGTAGTCTGGAAAACAGTACAGGAATGAATGTCCAGGAGAGCACAGCAACTTTAAATATTCATTTGGGGTTTTCTTCTGTCACTGCTCAAAGTAGAAGTGTCTAAACCAAAGAGGAAAGAAGTTTCCTTGCATGCCTTTTCTGTTTGTGCTCACAGGGATTACTTAACTGAAAGCACAGCCAAAAGTAAAACACCTCCCGAGCTGGCAAAGCTATTTTTGGGTCTTTGCCCTCTCAAGTGGGAATCTTAGGGCGGGAGCCTGAAACTAGACAGAAATGTCAGGATGCCTCTGGATAAACCCCCATCATGTTAGTTTTGAAGTTTAGTTTTCTGGCTGGTCCCAGAAGACATGGGCTGGAGAGAAAACACAACACACGACAAGGATGAAAAGGATTATGTTATGGCTTCTGTAGGAGGAGAGGGAAAGCAGCTTAGGACTCCTGTGTTTGAAAAAGAGACATCAGAGCAAGGACAGGAGACAGGTTTATACAATCACAAATGGTATGAAGAAAGAGCACTGGAAGTAATTATCCCAAACACAAAACCTAGAAGGCATCCTGTGACTTTCCAGGAGCAAGCAAATTCAAGGCAAACCAAAGGAAGCTGCGTTTCATGCCAGTCATCATTAAAACATGTAACTCGAAATGACAGGCTGTTGTGGAAGGGTAGGAGGGTCAAGGATGGGATTAGAGTCTTGAATGGAAAAGATGTTCCTCAGGGTGCTTGAGGACAAAGTCCTTTTGTCTCTGGCTTCCAGAATTTAGGGATGGCTGTTAGTTTTCCAGTTTTCCTATTCCTAATGTTGTCATCTGTTTCAGTTACACTAGTAGGCAAGATGTTTTTGTTATTTTCTTTGTACTCTTTCAAAATTAATTTTCTGTTTTTTCTGCCCTTACTTCCTCTTATTCCTATTGATCATTTAATTGAGAAGTTTTTATCCTCCTCTCTCTCCTTCTTTTAAAATGTATTAAAGTTGTTATTGCTATTAGTTGTTGCATACTTTCTCTGTTGACTTCCAAACTGAAAAGTAATAATATTTTCATTTACTTATGTCCTGAAAATGTGTCTCCTACTACATCCTTGCTCTCTTCCTGTGTGTTTCTGTGCTGTCCAAGGTTGTTTCACCAAAACATACCTGTTGGTATTTTTCCATGTTCTTCTTTGAACTGCCCCAGTCATAAGCTTGGAACTTCCCCGAGCGGGCCTCCTAAGAGGATGAACAAGAGAAGGGTAGTTATAAAGCCATAATTTGGGAAGTTTGTGTGCTCTTTCCCTGATGAGCCTCTGACTCCAATCTAAAGTCCCAACAGAGTTCTTCAAAGAGCTTTGAAAAAGCCAATAGTAAATTGATTAAAAGTGTCAAAAAGTGAAAAGGAGTCAAACGTTTTTATTGTAACGAAAGACATTTATGTCTTCTGCAAACAGACCCGAGGATGTTCTCATAGGCAATTAGTTCAAGTTTGTAATACTGCTGTTAACAACTGCTGTCAGCAAGTTCATCTCTCTGCTACTGCCTTGTCTATTCTTACAGTTGTGTTGCCAAACTCAGCTCTGTGAGCGGCTCCATCTTATGTTTTTTCTTCCCACTCTGTTTTGAATACAGAAATTACAATTTTTAGTTCTTCCCCTTCTTGAATTTACCTACAGCATGGGTTATTACTACTCTGAGAGACACCATCATCAGAATCTTAGCATTGAAATTCTGCTAGCTCCTTTAGTTGTAATAACAGTACGGACAACAAAGACTTAGGAGTATTACTTCTGCATGTTTGTGCTCACAGTCTGTGGTTAGATGTTGAATTCCATCTGAGTCAATTTGCACAACTCCCCCCACTCTGCATTTGTTACAGGTCCAGGTCATGGTTACAAAAACAATTTTTCAAGCCTACTATCTAGTGCAAACTCACAGCCAACAGTATAATTTTATTTTGAGTAAGTGCCTATGCAGATGTCACACAAACATATCTGTGTGTTTGCTTTGCTGAAAAGGGCATGAACACTCCTGCAAACTCGGTGTGCTTGCAGCTTCCTGTGCTGCTCCAGAGCCCGTGGTGCTGCCAGGAAAACTGCCTTGCTCCAGAGGCTCCTCCAGGGGAGCTCTTTGCATCCTCAGGGTGGGAGCCTAAAGACAGAAAGGCAGCTCCCACCAGCACTGCTGCTGAAGAGGTACTATGGTTATACCTTGTAGGTTAGGGATATAAACATTCTACTAAATATAGTATTTATTTTTACGGTTCTATCTCTGTCCAGACACTGACAGCCTTGAAAGCAAGAGAAAAAATTACAAGGGTTTTAATAATAAAATGTGACAATTTATATGGCAGCCTAAATCCTGCTCACTTCTTGACACCAAGTTGGAAACATGACTAATTTCTAAAGGTAAACTCTCCACAGAACTGTGGACATAATTTATAAGAGGTACTGGATACACAATAAGAATAGTGTACACCTGCACACACAGCTTCCAGCCTACATATTTTTACTCAAATGCAGCACTTCATTGTTGGCTTCAAATGTACCTCTACTACATAGGGCATTTCTATCCTGCTGGCAAAAGAAGAAGCAATGAAAAACTGAGAACTGAGGTTTCAGTTGCAATCCACAAGGTGCATGTGCTTCCAAGAAGTTGGCAATGGCTTCACAGCTGGTTATTTCTGTACCTCTCTATTCAGCTCCAGGTGAGAACCTATTTTATGTTTCTGGGGTTTGCTCATACCTGACTCCAGTGGACTATGTTCTGCACAGAAGTTCCAGCAGAGGTTTGGGCAATGTACACGTTGATTCGGTTCTGAAAGAGAATATTCAGTGAGCATTCTCCTCTTCCCTTCTATGCAGATGTACATCAAAACATATGCTACAGCAGTGCCATGTATCAGTAAAATCAACAGCAACTGGAGTGGCATGATTGGAGACTCCCTTAGATCTGCTTCACATGTGGCAGTGTCAGATTAGGAGTAGCACTGAAAAAGCAATCCCTAACCAGAACATTTTCCAAGATGACTGAGGATCTAGAAGAATCTACAGGTGAGAAGGAATGAATAGAAAGTCAGCAATTTAGACCCCAATCTGCGTGGTGTTTTTCAGAATTCTGTATCAGATTCTGTGTTAGAGAGGATCACTGTTGGACAGAACAGAAAAGGGAAATGCAATTTCCTGATGAATGTACAAATATTTGAAATAAAAGACACCCTAGCACTGCAGGGGTTTCTTAACAAGCTGCTGTGTGATCCTTTCTCAGTGAACACTTTCTGAGGCATTTTTTGAAAAATGCTGGAGCAAAATTTTGACTCCCAGGTGATCTGACCTACAGCTGGACAGAGCATGAGGTGCCCAGGTATGTCCTAATACTCTCCTACCCTGATGGTCCAAGGCTTGGAGAACGAGGACAAGGAGGAATATGTGTGCTCTTTTCTGTGTTGCAAAGAGAAAACATGAAGCAGGTAAACTTTTTATTTCTTCTTTTCCAGTGTGCCAGCATGCGAAATATCTCTGACGAGACCCGTGGCCACAGCATGGACCAAAATATGGTGCCTTGGGTGAGGTCTGTCAGAAGGCAGACTGCAGAATTTGTGGGGGCTCTGAGCAGCTGTCAACTAAAGAACTGGTGCCAAATGCTCTTCTGAGGGGAGAGGCAGTGGTTCCCTGCTAGAGACAGAGCAATCAGCAGATACTGCTGTCCGGTAGTGGGGACTGCTCCCTGCAATGTGATACTAATAGAAATTCAGGATTCACACTACTGGATAGAAGGTGAATTTGGGGAGCATAAGCTTAAGCTCCCAGCAGAGCTGGTAAAAGTTATACGTACCACATCAATGTTTTTCAGGTTACAGCCACCCAGATTGAAGAAGACACTTCTACAAAGCCTGGCAAAAGCTCGGTGGCTGCAGACAGGGGCTATTATCCTCGTTAGACACTCAGTCTGGGGAAGGAATTCTCTGTTGCCAAGCATACGCTGTGAAATACAAAGGTGACAATAATTTAGGAGTGTACACACTTCTCCAGCAATTTCAGTGGTTCTTACTCGCCTTTTCTCCAATTGTCAGATGATGTTTCCACAAACAAGTGAGAAACTACTTGGTTTTCCATTGCATCAGCCTGCTTGGGCATTACTCAATCTGGGTTACATCACTTATAATGAAGAGATATGTTAAATAATATCTCCAATTCATAGTTTAAGCTTTTATATCAGTTCTGGCTTTGCCTGGAGATATCTTGGAGATCTTTGAGGATCTGCATCTTTGTACCTCTCTGGGTGACCTATCCCCACGCTGAGCTGTTGCCTTGGACTGAAAGCTTTTCTTATTGCCCTGTCTGAACTTTCAGAGGCCTCACCACAAGGTAAACCTGCCCACATGCAAATCAGTCTACTTCACAAAGCCCTATACTTTCTATTTATCCATTTTAAGAGCTGAACAAACAAATATATAGTTAAACAGTGGAAAGCAAGATATCACACACCCTGAGCATTTTTTCAGGAAGGTAGAGGAGTTTTGTTGCTGGGCTTTTAGCATACTTGATAGCAGTGACAGGTGCCAATGCAAAGTAGAGTTTGATTTTTTGAGCCAGCTCTGGCATTGTTGAAAATGCAATGAAAGCTGAAAAAAAAAAAAAAAAGAGGAGTTAAACCCTCATCATTTTAACATTAGACTGTTTTCAGTATTAATATAGGATACTCTGCACTTTCAATTTATAAACAAGCTTGTTAGTTGCTCAGAGAATATGGTCCAGCCTAGATTTATATGAAATGCTTCTTCTCCATCAGTTACCAGCTTGTAGTTTTTTTTCCCTATTCAGAGAAATTTCTCTTTCTATATTTTGCAGCTTTCTTCCAAACTTGATTAAACATAGATGTACACTTCTGATGCACATTCATGTATTTCTTATACTATTGGGAGGAAAAGTTGTTTTTCTTCCGGTCAATCCAATTTTGTATTTTCTTTTTTTGTGCATACATCTGGTCCTAACTGGCCAACTTCTCTTTCTGTACTCTCATCTTCCTGTTTTGTTTATTTTGGTGAACTGACCAGCTGCTGTGGGCACACCCTTGCATCTTGAATAGAAACAATTTGTATGGCCCACACACAACAATTTCCAGTATAATTCTTAGTTGACAGATTTCCAGCAGCAGTGCATTTGATCCATTATGCTTAATTATCTTTATAATAAATTTTAAATGCCTACATGTTGAAAATTGCTTATACTAACACAGTATTTCACAACTACAAAGAGTTAATGAAAACTTCAGATACATATGTTAACTCAGTATCTTAAATCACATTTTATCTGTTTTCCCAAAGAATTTCTCTCTTGGGTTTAACTTACCAATGGTAGTACCTTGTGAATAGCCAATATAGTACAGCTTTTCCTGTCCTGTTTTCTCCAAAATGAAATTTATTGCCGCTGGAAGATCAAACTTTGCCATCTCATCAAAACTGCAGGCAGGATATTGAAAGAGAGGCATGCATAAATTAAAAACCAGACTTGAAACTGAATTCAGATTTTTTATTAATAGCTTGTCAGCAAAGGAACAGTCTGAATGATTTAGTGAATCATTCAGTTGTTCTTTGTTTTTCTGGCACTGGATATGGAAGATACTACTCAAGATTATTTGGGTTATTGTATTTCACAGACTAGTGTAATACAATACTAGCTACTTTCTAAGTAGCTGCCAAAACTGGCTCCAGGGCTGAGGAATGGCTTTGAGATGGCCAGTGCAGGTTCCTCTGAGTTGTTCTACTGCTATGCCTCAAGTTTGAAGAACCTGTTCAAGAAGTAATTAAAGTTGTCTCCATTACTATTATAGTTCACATGCTTTTATAGGGGCACCTCAGCAAAAGTGAATGTAAAGAATGTTTATTAAAAAGTAGCACATGCAAATCCCTGATTTAGCCAGCAGAAAGGGGTCTATAAGGATGGTCAATGGATATCCCCTTCAGTGGTTCTGTCTACCTGAAAGCCCAGAATTCATCTTGATCAATGGAATACTTTTCATGTTTTCTTGACCAGCGATTCCCTCTACTATTTCCCATCCAAACATCAAATCCAGCATCAGCTAGTAGGAAGCCCAAGCTGTTGTTGGGCTGGTTTGTGACCCAGTTACTAGCATCTCCCAATAATCCATGCTGGAGAAACACAGCAGGTCTTGAAGCTGAAAAATAAAGCAAAAGCAAAACAGTTTATAATTGCTTTTATCTTTTCATTTCCTGGTTGTTCAGAGACATTATTGTCTCATATTCAATACTGGGATATTTTCCTGAATCAACAAATCATAAGAACAAAACCCTTCTTTCAGTGAGAGACAAAGTCTAAGCTCCTGAAAGAATTTATGGAAAGATCTGTTTGACACCAGAGTGAACTAACTTGGCACCCTCTGGTCATTGTTTGTACAGCTCAGACACATCAGCTTGAGATTCTCAACACTGATACAGAGATGAAGGTGTGGGATTGTTTTCAGAGGTTCCCTTTACCCAAAATATGAATCAGACACTGATATTAACTAGGTGTAAGCAAAAGCAAAGCAGAATTAGAAGCTGGAAAAGCTTTTGCAAAACAGGCTGATTAGGTTACCTTTATCCTATTTTTTTTTTTTTTTTTAGTTTTACTCATCAACTCTTACCAGGAAGTATATGCTTCATATTATGGTGGATTTTTATTATAAATAAGTGTGCTTGATATTAATTCTGTAGATCTTGCAGGTTGTTCAGGTCAGCCAGAACTCTCTACTACAATTTCACTCATGTATACAAGCTTTGGTGAATGTTTTAAAAATACAAGTTAGGTCTTTTGGGAATATGCCCTATCTAGGCTGGTATTGTGTCATATTAAATAACTGTACCTGGGCTTCCTTGATTCTGAGTGCCATAAGGGATTCTGTTAATGGTAAGGATATAACCATCTTCTGTCATCACTTCATACTCCTCGCTGGGGTACCCTTTGTAAGTAATGAGCTCTTTCTAGGAGAGAAGGTACAAATGCATTTATTTGCACAAGTCCATTTCATACATTATAAGACAGTCACAATGAAGAAATGTTAGAAAGCAGGTATACAGCTGGGGATTTAATCTACATGAATTAAGCATCTGAATGTGTGTAACCCTAAAGCAACTACAAATTTCCTTTTTTCCTTGTATTATATCTAGGGCTTTACTACCCAGTTAAAATATGTCCTATAAAACCTGTATTGCACTCCTGCCCTACAATCATCACAAGCCCTTGCATTCTGGTGATATAAGAATCCCTGCAAGCTCATAGCAGGACTTTATGAGCTGAGATGAGGTGTGTGGTGGAGACAAGGAGCTGTCTGGGTGCACTGCTTCTGATTTACTTTGATACAGCCTGGAACCAGCCTATTTAAACTACATTCAGAGAAATCCAGACAGCTGCACAACTATGATTTGGTGAGCAGCCTAGATGCAGTGAGCACTGCTGAAAAACTGACTATATTATGGGAAAAGAAAGATTGTAGCTGCGGGTTAGGGTATCAACCCTTTGGAGCGGCGGAAATAAGACACACAGCTACACGGTCATCCCTCAGGATGGGAAGGAGACAACTTTACTCTAAAACACACTGCTAAAGTAGAGCAACTCGCAACTGCAAGGACAGAATACAGATGATTGGTCCACAGAAAGTGACACCTCTTTCCCATACTTCTAGCATGTATCCAACAGGTGTTTATCTTTGTAATTAATTCTTCTGTTATGTTTACATTAGATAAAGTGGCTAGCTTTGGGAAAGAACCCTGGCTAAGCCTGAGAAACTCGGACTGGAAAAACTCACACAAGAGGTCTTTCTGGGCCTCAACAGCCACAAAAGATCAGTCATTTGCATAGGGAAGGGATTTGCATAGTTGCAAGTGACTTCTCAAGTACAGCCCATCTTAAGCTCTGAAGTAAATATTAGTTTTGACCTGCAAAGTTCTATCTGTTTTGTTACAAAAGAGGATTGGTTTTCACAATTTCTACTCAGAGAATTACTCAATGTATTTTGCCATGCAGGACAGAACTTCCAAGATTTTAACGAACAATAAAAGACCTAAGCAATTTTGCTTAGCAAGAGGTGTTTTTCTAAAAAGCTGTCCATTTCTGGTCTCTGCTGCTCACCACAAGTTTTTTATTCATTGCTGATGAAATGCTGACATTCTAGATAGTCATTCTTTCAGACAGGTAGGTAGTGCCAGCAATAGCAAGCTGGTAACTGATATTTAAAAGGAAATTATGTCTGGAGATTTACTATTTGCTTTAATTTCTATCAGAGAGAAGATGGGCTGCTATGTATGCAGGCAGAAGAAAGCAGTAGTATATACAATGACTAGAGAGGATAGGTTAAATAAAGGCAGCTTATCTACCCTGTTATTTCTAACACTTAGAAACCCCTCTGCTGTAAGTCATGCATAACATCCATTCTCAGGTCACTCCATCAACCAACTTACAATACTCATAAAGGCTTCAGGATCCAGAGTTCTCTTCATTCTTCTCAGTTCTTCTGAAAAAGTAACTCCCTGAAACCAATATGTCACAGCAACAAGCAGCCATATCTTCTCCCTGCAAAATCCAATATATTAATCTCTCAGTAGTCCTCCTCTGCACTTGCAATCCAGACAGGTTCTGTACTTTTCTGATCAGGAAAGTGCTGTCTGACAGTGAATGGAGCCAGTCTGGTATTCCCCACTTGTTAATTAAAACGGAAAAAAGCTGATTTCAAACACCTATCTGAGGGCTTTGGGCAGCAACCTGGACTCTCTGCTAAGGTTTGGACTAGGATGGTGCTCTTGATCAAGGCAAAAGTATCAATGAATCCAAGAAAAGAAGCAAAGCTTCTGGAGAAATGAATTGCACTCATTTTCTGAGAAGTAGGTCACTTGTATTACCATACCAAGCATTTGATCTGTAGTTGGAAACTGGAAACATTTCTGGCTAACTCTGTGAAGCACAGTTATTGGGTAACTCCTAAGTAAATCAAACATTATCACATGTAGCTTTTCCACTTTTTAAAGTGGAGATAACCAAGTTGATGGATAGTTAGTGGAAAAAAATAAAAACAATTGTAAATAAAAAATTTGAATATTTATAATTTAATTAAAAGCTTAGGAACCTAAAAAAAAAAGCAGTTTTTTATAGTTGCAAAATTTATACAAACCTTCTTAATGACAAAATTTATCCACTCTATGGGATGAGGATTGATAAAGGAAAAGAACACTTTGCTAAATGCAATGCTAGGTGGAGACTGAGTGCAGGGACATCCAGTTTTGTTAAGCAAAAAAGGAACAAAAAAACCTGGGAGGTAGCTGTCCTTCTTAGATGCACACATAGCAGCCCCACTGTCTATGAAGACCTACATACTCTTGGCTCAAAGAAAATGCAGTATTTGTATTAGCATCTTCTCTACACAATTTAATCCCCCAGAGGCCACATCTAAACTTCTATCATCCCAGTGATAAATCTTTCTGTCAGACTGATTCAGCCAAAAAAATCTATCGCATTTATTGTTTTCATAATCAAGAAGACTTTAAAACTATTTTTTCCCAAAAGAATATGAATAGTTTTTGGTTTTTTTCTTCTCAGAGAACAACAATTTGTACACTAACTCCCTAGCACTACATTCTGGTACAATCTGTGCACTGAAAATACTTAGCTCCTTTTGTAGAAAAAGAGGCATTTAGAAACCTTTGTTTTACTGAGCTAGCACCCTTTCTTTTGGTTTAAAGTTGCCACTTCCTGATTCTCTCTCTTGCCATCTTCCCATACCTCTTCAGCTATCCCAGAGTTACCTAAATTCAGGCTAGGTGAGCTAGGCCTGAATCTCTTTAGTCAAAAGAAATCCTGCAAGAAATAGCCATACTTTCACCTACTTACAAGCAAAACAACACAAAGAAATGCATTTGTTCCCAAATAGTAAAGCAACTCCTCAAGCTCAGGGTTTCATATCATCTTTTGCAGCTCCCATGAAGCCTTCACCAGTTTTGGATCATAAATTAATCGAAGTATTACTGACCTTGTGCCCAAAGTCATGTGTTTGGCTGAGCAGCTGTGGCTGCAGAAGAATGAAAACTCAATTCCTGGCTGTTTGGAAGCAGGGCTGGCAGTGAAAGGATGGTCATGCACTGTTTTTTCCCCAATCATGCAGCAACTTGACAATAAGCCTCTGTTTCTTTCCCACTACTCATTCCTTCTACTATCACTTCAGCTTCTCCCTGATGCAGCACCAGAGAGGGGTCACTCCTTTTATTCCCAAACCTCATGTTTTTCAGCTCCTTAGCCACCACAGCTATAACAAGGCTCTTCTACTATCACAGATTGCTGGATTTTAAAGGAGAATACCAGCCTGTGTAGAGTGGCAGAGCAGGAACAGGAATTTTGAAAACAAATATATTCACAGATATACCTTATCATACCTAATGAAATTGCCAATAGACCTGCAACAATTTTCTCTTTTACTAACAACCTACCAATTCCAGCTTCTCGTGTTATCTGGAAAGGAAGGAAGAAACTCTGATACCTCTACAGATGTTACTCCACATATTTTTCTTTTATTTTTTAATATTTTTGTTGCTGCTCCGTTGCTGCTGGAGTGGTTTCAGGAGATTTTCCTCCATTTATATTTCACCTCTTAAATGGCCGTAGAATTGAATGGATAGTCCCTAAATGAATAGTCTCTAAATGAATAGTTCTGAAACCAGAAGGGTTTTGTGTAATCTGTATGGACTCAGAAAACATTGCTGAGATGAGCACACGTGTGCCAGTGGTCTCAAGCAGACTCTGATGGGCCAGAATTGTTCAGCAGTGGAGATTAGTTAGGCCTGAATAGAGAGTCCAGACAGGTCCTTTTCAAGGCATTCAGGACAGTCACCTTCTTAAGTCTCTTCTTTTTGTGGAGGACAAACCCAGTGCAGCCATGTTCCACCATGAGTGGAATCCTCACTACAACACTACAAGCTTTGCAGAAGTATGAGTGAGGATCTTTTATTCCTTTTTTTTTTTACTTGTGTACTCTGGTATAAAGCTGGTGGGTTTTTCATTCTGTGTGTTCCAGGTATTTTTAAATCTTGAAACTATTCTTTCTCGTTCAGTTCCCAATTTTTATTCCTCCAAATATTCTGTCTATCTCACAAATGCTATTCATCCACATAGAACAGATCAGCTTAAACACTGAGACGAGCATTGACCAAAGATTTGAGCAGGATTTGATATTTCTATTTATATTATAACTAGCATGCTTTCTTCTTGCAGTGTTTCCTGTGGTTAGGATCAGAAATATTCAATATATCCTCAGAAGTTATTTTCTTTAATATTTACAGATCAGAGAGAAATATGAAAGAAAATCTCAGGAGAAGAACTACAAGACTTGTTATCAGGCCTTCAAAGCGAAATAGAAACATCTGAGTTCAGTTTCTGGCAGCAAATTAGGAGAGGAAATTATTTTCAAAGAGCTAGTTTAGAACAGAGAGTGTTTTCAAATACTGATTCTCCACACAAGATGGGACTTTTTTTGAATCTTCTCATTATTTCCTTTATACACTCCAAGTTCTTTCATCTTTCCTATAAGAAAAGCAGGTTTCCACCATTTTAGAGTCTCAGTGTCATTTGAAGCTCGACAAGAATTTCACGAGTGAACTGTTTAAATGTGTACTTGCCTTTGAGTACCTCATGCTACTCTAAGTAATTAAGATGTGCCATTAACTCGCTGTGAACAAAGCCAACTTCATTCTTTAGTGCAAAACAAAGCTCCAATAATAAAAAACTCACTAAAATATTGCATAAACATGGCACAATACCATAAATAGCAAATGACTGGATAAAGCCATTGCAGGCAGTATGTGTTCGAAGTGAGTGTTTGAGAAGGGAAAAGGTGAACTAGGGTGAATGTTGGGCTGATTAAAAAAAAAAAAAACAGACATGCCCACTCTGTTGTAAATCGTCAGGTTTCAGTGGAAGTTACTCACACTGTAATCAGGTATGGAATTCGGTAGAAATGCTTGAAGGTTGAGATGTTGCTGTCAGAGTTGTGCTGCATCTTCTCGAGTGTGGTCATATGTAAATGAACTTTAAACTGGTCAGTCTAGGTGCCCTTATATAAGTAAGTGCCTTTATATAAATTGTTCACTGAATGCTGTTTATGAAGCCTCAACTCTTTCCAGTGCTTTTTATGGATAAAACCCCCATCAATGTACAGAATATAATCCCTAGCATTTTTGTGTTTTCTGTAAACTCTTTGCTCTCCCCATTCCCTCCTCCTGAATTGGACCTGGCTCTGGAAATGACATAGGAATGGAAGATATTTTTATACAGCTGAATATAGCAGTTCATCATGGATCAAGTATGTCCTTTTGGCTTCTTCATGCAGCTAGTGAACGTAGTTATCAAAAATGTTTGGCTATTTTAAGTATGTTAAGGAGGGCCTCTAAGGGGAGGTATGCTTTATTGAGAGACAGACTTGTTTTTGTGGAAGTTGCCATCCAGGAGTCTCCAAGGGAACACATAGCAGCAAAAACAGAAGGATCCCCTCGTGCACTCATATGGCTTTAAAGGCATTTCATGTCATAATGGTGCAAACAGTTGCTTCCTGAGAGTGAGAAAAACACTGAGAACCAAGCACGGGGTCTAGTAGTGTGCTCTCTACTGAATCCCTGGGATTATACCTGGTTCCCAGCAGCATGCAACAACTGCCCTCAGCCACCCACCCCATGCTGTTGCCTTGCCTGGAGTGCTCTTGGCCTCCAGCACAGGCACATTTTGGGGGTGAAGGCAGACCCTCCCTATTCACCTCCAAACAGCAAAGGAGCAGTAGAGTCCGTACACACAGACAGAAGTGCAGAAGCATAAAGCACCAGCAAGAACAGGCACTGCTCCTGTCAGAGACTCTTCTCAGCTCTGTCAGGCCTGCAAAAATATTTCTGGTGGTCATCATCAAGGTCAATGGACTTGCCTGGGGTCACCAGCAATTGAGCTGAGTAGCACAGTATTTGTAAATTATGAGTGAGGTAGCTCTGCATTGGCACTTAGATAATTATGAATCCTCTGTGTGACAAAGGTGAAGTAAGAAGTGTCAAAAGGAAGGGCTCATGAGGGACAGAGAGGGCGGCATGCTTGGCTGGGCTGCTCACCCTGCTGATGCCTTGTCTGGAAATGTCCCAGGCAGAACTGCCCTCCTGCTCAAGTGCCAGTCACCTATGGAAGGGGCAGCTTGTACATGAAAAGCTCAGCACCTGTCTGTTAACTTATCCAAGGGAAAATACAACTTGCGAGAAGAGCAACTATTTCCACAATACTTTCTGGCTGATGCTGAAATATGTGAAATGTATGCAAGCCAGGATTTCTTCACCTCCGAGGGTGGATGAAGTTTGTGTTGCAATTTATGAGCTTTGTATTGTTCAAATTGTTTTGCCTCACAATCTGCAGGCAATTATTTTTTTATCCTTCTGCTAATTTTGTAGTATTGTATAGAGCAGCATATTTTCACCCCCACAGATATCAATTATATCAACTATAATTAGAGATGAAAGGAATTTACACATCTACCTACATATGTGGAAAGCTGAAAATTACATATGCTTTATTTGTTTTGCACTTGTTGCTAAATGAAAGCCCTGGGAGTGTGAATTGAAATCCTCTGGCAGAAGAACTGGCACCAGTACGAGCACTCAGTGTGCAGCAGTCCCCTGGTGAGCAAGGGCCATTGAGCTCTGCTAAGCACAGACTGAAGCGGTTTCTGGTCAGCTTCGTGCTGCCATCAGCAGCAGCTACCCAGCTGTTTTTAGGGGTCAAAGGGACTGTGGGCAGAGGGGCTTTGGTTTTTCTTAATCCTAATAATTAAAGTAAGGGGTTTGCTCTGGGAAAGAAGGAGGGTGCTGGGGAGGTTAGAGACAGCACTACAAAACCTCTGTCCTCCATTCAAACTGGGAGTTTTGCATACCCGTAACTGGGTTGATTGGGGGCTGAGTTAGCAGCATCCCAGAGTGGGCTGGTACCCCTGTCTCTCTTCCCATGAACACTTTTCTCCTTGCCTTCTTTCAGCTGGAAAATTCTCATCAAATATGAATTTCATTACTAATCATCTCCATCATGGTTCGTTAATTTTTTTTCATGCATTAAAAACAACTTCCCCCTAACTTCTGCTACGGCAGCAGGTTAGATAGTCATAGACTTGTCTTTCAAAATCGTAAAGCACTTATTTTTTCACTTGTGCATTTATACATAGTAGGAATTTCTTTTGAAACAGCAAAGGTTTTGCTGATTCATAGATCTGATCCTTTTTCTTTAAAAAGTGAAGATACAGTTACCAATACAAACTAACGGTTTGCTCTGAGCATCAACATTAATTTTCTCACACAAAGTAGTCTACTGTAAACAATGAAAACTGAAATATACAGTAATTATAAAATTAAGATGATTACTTTGTACTTAGGATATAGAATATTGTTTTGATCTTTTGTAAGGCAAAAGGAACATGATCAAAATATTTTAACCTTAGCTATAGAAATGCACTTTAAATAGCAAAGCTGCTTATCAAATATAGTCTGTGTTTTCAATGGAAGCTTTCCCTTATAAAGACAAAATTTTCCTGCTGATCCCAAAGTGATACTTTCCAAACCAAATGAAGAACCTACATGTTCTATTTTACTTATGTCAACAAAATGTTTCATACTCTTGCTACGTGAAGGAAGTTAGCTTCTAAAATGTTAGTGCCAACACATAGTTCCACAACATTGCACAGAGGACAAATGAAACTTATGGACCTCTTTCAAGCTCTGCTCCAGTGAATGTTCCACTAGACACCAAAAGTTTTCATTAAACAAGAGAGTATTCTTTCACTAAGACAAACAATATCAGACAAGGGCATAATTCTTACCATTCCAAAAGAAATCCATGTCTTTTTGATGATCAGGATGACCTCTTTGCTTTGGAAGCATTTTCTTGTACGGTCTTGAGGCAGGAAGATCCCTTAGAAGAGGGGTCTTGTGGCTGTTTTGCTCCCCTGGAGCAGATAGCAGTGGCCATCTGAAAAGCAGTCAGTTCCCAAGGTCTGTCTAAGAGGACACTGTGTCCCTCTCTGCTAGTGGGACTGTCAATCTGCAGGAGAGAGGCTCCAATGTTAGAGGAGAACAGGTCTGAAAAGCTGGTAATTTGTATTTTCCTTTTGAAAACCGACAGGACAACTAGTCAGGTCTTCACTCCAAAAAGTTCTGGTGTGGTAATACTCAGGCTGACTCTCGTCTGAGCTGGCAGCAGCCCTGCAGAGCAGCACACAGGGGTACCAGCTAAGACCTGGCCCTGGAAGCGTCACTTTTGGGGTCTGTACCCCTTGCACTGTGCCCTGTCCTCACCTGGCAAGGCTGGGCTGACATCTCCCTGCTGCACAGTGCCCAGCCAGATCAGACAGCACTGGTTGTATCCATAGTCTTGCCCAGGTCATCCTGACATCTTGAAATAAGTGTCTGGTGTCCATGTCTAATGACTGGGACATTGGGCCACTCATCGCTGTTATTTAATCTTCTCAAGTAATTCTGATCTCCAGGGCTTTTGTTTCCTTCCTGTGCTTCAGCTGGCACCTCCAATTAGGGAGATTTTGTGCACGAACTGTCCTGTTACTTGTCTGAACAGCTTCTAAGCTGCAATCTTGTTAATCTGAATTAATATTCACATAAGCATATGAAAATTGTGGCTGAAATCCTTCCCTTTGTGCCCTAAGGGATGTCAGATTTTTTTAATATAAATCATAAATCAAGTTGTAATTACAAATTGTCTGAAAGATACTTTAGAAAATGGATTACTAAAGATAAAAATGTCACTCTTATTTGCCTTGAGAAAGTATCTGACACAAACATATAAACAAAATTTAACAGGCAGGTAAATATTTGCAGTTAGCAATGCTGTAAAAATTTTAATTCGATCCTAGCAGAATTCTTTTTTGTTTAGTAAATCATTCCCTGAGCACTTGATGAAGCCACCCCGGTTTCCTGTCAGTTTATACCTTACAGTTAATTGCAGGCTCCAGTCAAATATTTAAAGTATCTCTCTTGCTCTTCCTCTTCTAATTTCCTAATCATGCTGCAATCTTTACTGGTCAGGACACTTGCAATCTTTCTCTTCTAGTTTGTCAACTTTTTGTAATCAAACAACAAAGCCTTAATTATTTTGTGGAGAGCTATGCTGAAAACCAGGGAACATGCTGACAAACACTCAGGCAGCATAATCTCCTGAACATTGTTCCTTTAGGAAAGCAGCTGAACCATCCCCCCTTTGGCCTTTGAATAAAATCATGGTATGCTTCTATACTCCTGCTAGATTGCTCATCTTCATGTTTTGAAAATGGATTGTGCCATTGCAAAACAGAATTGTTTTTTTAGACTAGTATAATTTTCAAATAGTGAAGACATGCACAAGTACTTTTAATAAATGAGTTTTTCTGATATTGTGGACCCTCTGCAATCAGACTCACCCTTAAACTTACGGGCAATGTATAGTGCCAAATTTGTATGATACACATACTGGATACCTATGTTTTTAGTTTCATAAGAAAGCATTTGTTTCCATAGAAGGCACTGGATTAGGAGGCACACTGAAGTTACTATCACTGTTTTCTGCTTGGCTGTGCATGGTTCACTTCTAACAAGTGAGAAGCTGAAATTAGACCAGTCCAGAGAAAATGGGATCCACCCAAAAATGGGAGTTTCCAGTCTCCAGGGACCTTGGCATGTACATGGAAAGAATCATTACCATTTTGTGTACTGTCAATTCTCACCTGGCATGCTCAGCACCCTGGAGCTTGTTCCAGATTGTGCAGAAGTGAACCACATCTCCATAGCAAGTTCTAGCAAGGGACATTGAGGAGGGCCATCATCATTGGGATGATCTGGGGAAGGAGACAGCCTTGCCTTCCCCACTGCAGGACTGCTCAAATCAGCAGATCTTCCACCCCATGCCTTCCCCATGCGTGATGCTGCCAGTGGCGCCAGGGAGGGGGAGCAGCACGAGGGGCAGGTCAGCTCTGAGATGGCTTCTGTGACCACTGGTCTATAATTTTCACTTGGGACTGCAGAGAATTACAGACTTGGACTTTATTTATTAGAAAATTAAATCAAAGCCAGGGCTAGATAATTGCTTACAGCAAACTGACTTCTCTATGTGGTACACCAGCTGTCAGCTACCAGTGGGTAAATCATAAATACAGGGTGTATATGCATACAGGGTGTGTTCATGTAATCCTCTGCTCACAGTGGCTACATTTTCCCCCCACAGGACAATTCACCTCAGAGGGAATTTTGGGGAAAACGTTTTTTTTTCAGAATTTCAGGCACTAATCTCTCTGCTTTTTTCCTTTTTCTTTAATCCTTGGTCACTTTTACCTGTAGGACACTGGAAAAAGAGTGGAGAGTAGCAAAAGAAGGGGTTACTCAACACAACAGTAATCAGATCCTGGATCCATCAGCAAGAGGTAACCAAGAGGCACGAGTGCCATTTCAGATGTCCTTGAGAACCTTGCCTGCCTCTGGGATTTGACTCAGGCTCTGTATGCAGTCATTTTGGCTGAACCAGTTTCTTGCTCGATCATGTCTGGACTGTGTTTTATCTTAATCTGCTAAAGATTGCTTTATTTACAAAACTATAAGCAAATAATGAAGACTGGATTTTCAGGTAAACTTCACTTGGTTTATG